TATGGACTACTGCACGGAGCAAAGCTGGGAATATTTGAAGGCGGTGAATCCCAGCAAAACTTACACCGAGCTCCTGCAAGAGTTCTGCGGTACAAAGACGGAGTTTATGAAAAAGGTGAGGGCAAAGGCGGAGGAAAAGGACGGGGTTGTGCGTTCGGGGCGGGGCGCTGGAGGGAGCCACAGTGGCGGTGCGCTGCCGCCGTCGCCGGGTCCTGGCAGCGACGGGCACGCCGCCAGTCCCAAAGAAAAGGGCCAGCAGGCACCGGCAGGGGACAGCAGCGAGCATGCGGGAGAAGACTCAGCTTTGGGGGCGCTGGGAGTCCCAAAGGGAGCAGAAACATCAGAGCCGGAGGGAGGCTTAAAGTCGTCACGTCCACCGGGGCAAGAAGGTCCAGTGACGCCCCCACAGAAAGACAATTTAACGCCAGTTGACGCCAATGGAGGAAACAGAGCAAGGGAGGACGGGCAGCTGAATAACGTGGCAGGCACTCCTGATCCCAGCCAGCAGCAGCGTGAGGGAGAGACGCAGAGTGAACCGGGGGTAACACAAGCAACCAAAGAAGCAGCGACTTCGTTGACAGTCTCGAAAAATGGACTTTTGCAAGGCACCAAAGGCGCCACGGATTCCGATGCTGCAGGGAACCCAGACAGCCAACAGGAGGTTGCTGCCGCAAGTGCAGCGGCGGGCACAGCAAATAAGCCGGCAGCAACAGCGGAGTCCACCGCCACTGATGCAAGGGACACCGCGACTACGACTGACGGTGGCAGCGGCAGCAGCCCCGCAGCGCAGCCGCAGCCGGAGAGTTCCGTGGCGGTAGCCGAAGCTGGAGACGCAGAACAAAAGGAGCAGTCCGCAGTGCCCACACTCAAGCAGGAAACGGAAACGAGCGGCGGCGGCGAAAGGCAGGCCGCTCAGCCGGCAGCGGGGGCGGCTGCTCAAGCGGCGACCACCACCAACTCGAGGAATGCAACGAAGGCGGTGACCGGCGACAGCGACGGCAGCAGCGCCGCGGCCTCGCACTCCGCCTCCCCCCTTGCGCTGCTTCTTCCGCTTTTTGTGAGTGCGGCTGTCGCTGCGATGGTGGTCGCGTGAGGGACTGAGTGAGGGAGAGGTCCGTGCACACACAGCTCGTCCTTTCTTTGTTTCTTTCACGCCCTTTGTGTGTGTGTCTCCCTGCACGGACTCTCTCGCCCTCGCCTCACCCCACGAGGCACACACATGTAATGTGCTCGTATATCTACACAACTCCACTCATGCAGGTTCGTCGGCTTTCTTTTTTTGTTTTTGCCCCCGACGAGCCGCTGCCGCCCTGCTTGGCTGCATGGGTACAGCACCGTAACTGTTTTTATCCTTTTTATTGTTTGTTTGTTTCCATTACTTTCAGTGGGCGACCTCTCTTGCTCCCCATTTCTTCTTTCCTGAACTGGGCTGTGCGGGAACAGAGAAAGTGTGTGTGTGCGTGTGTGCTGGTCGTTCCATTTGTTGCTGCGCGTCCCCACTGCTCGGTGGACGCGCCCCGCAGGCTTCGGCTTCACTTCACGGGGTTTGTTGTGTGTGCTTTGGTTGAATGTGCCCATGCCACTGGCTGCTGTTGCGTGTGCGTGTGTCCCGCACCGTGTGGGCGGCCTTCTATTTGCCCCTCTCTCGTTGTGTGGCTGCGTGTGTGTACGTGCCTATTTTTTGTCTCTTCCTCCCTCGCATTCTTCTTTTGGTTGGTGGTTGTTATTTTCTCAGCTGCAACGGAAGCCAACAGCAACAACTACGAGAAAAAGAAAATCAAGTAAAGAAAATCTGGGAGGCGCGCGGAAGAAGTTGACGCTGCTGCGGGGCGCCCCCACGTCTGTCCTGTGGGCG